GACATTTTCTTAACTCAGCAGTATAAACGCTGATTATTGGGCCCTAGCAATGATGTATTTGGGGTGTTCACAGTTCGTTCCAAATAGTGTCTCAAAATCTAGACGTCTACATTTTAAGACGTTTTCTAACCGTAAAATCTGTGGTGTTGTTGTTTCCCATACAAAATTGGAAAACGACGCTGTCTACATTTTGTCACACTCAAAGGTATGTTTTTTACGCGTCTATATTTTGCAACCTCGCAGCAGGGTTGCATTATGGCAATACTAATCACATTTTTTTATTTATTGGGCACGTTTTCTGTATTTGCATTTAATTTGAGCGCAATTTCTGATGAAAAGAAACAAATCTAGGAAAAGAAATAACCATTATTAGGAATTGGTAATTAAGTTAAATAATTACAATTTTTCAGAAGCAAAATCGAAAGGCGCCATATAAAAAATGCACGCAAAGAATAAACGTCTGGCAACACCAGCAAAGTTTTGAGACGATTTTGCGACGACTGCTAGAGAGTGCGTGCTCACAGTTTGATGCTAAAGATGTCTAAAAATGTAGACGTCTACATTTTCAGACACAATTTGGAACGAACTGTGAACACCCCAATTGATTATGTTTGTATGGAGCAAATTTGCTAACTGCCATACCTAACCGGGCCGTTACACATTCAATTTTCCCCTTTCAATCTTCAATTAGAGCGTTCCAGCACGTCTACGATTTGCAGGTTTTGCAGGATTTAGTCCAAAGTCGTTCCCGTACGCCAAAAATTCTGTATCTGGGAACACTCTCGTGAGAGTAACTGAGCAACTGTTCCCAGAATGAAGTTTCAAGATTTAATCCGGAGTTTTTCTTCTGGAAAATTCATGAAAAGTGTCAAACGATAGGTAGAGTTGCATTTGTGTACAAAAACAGAACGCGGTGAAAGCAAATACCCTTACATTTGTTAAAAAATGGAAGTAAATAACGAAATATTCGAATATATATGCAATTATTATTAATTATATAGATTTTAATAGTTATTTAGTGATCTTTCAGCCAAATCGGTCTTGTACTAATGACAAGTAAACAAACCAAATTACCTTTTTGCTGGAAAAAGTGCTTTTTGCGTTCCCGTACACTTCTGCATCTGTTCTCCGATTACTCTCACTAGAGAGAGTAAAATTGTAGTTTGACATTTCCACAGGTTTTAGTCCAAAAAGTACTGGAACAAACTAAATACTCTCACACTTTTTCACTAACACACTCTTATTTATTGCTTGAATGGGCAACTTGCTTTCAATTCTTCCCTTTCGATTTTGCTTTCAATTTTGATCAGCTTTTCACCATTGGTATGCGCATTTTGTGAATATAAAAAAATACTAAGCTTATGCATGTTATAATGTTAATCTACAATGGAATTATAATGGAAAATATTCTTCAGAAGCTAGTTAGTTACATTGTTTTCTTGAAGGCGACATGTTGATAATGAGATTGCAAATTGAATGCAGCCGACGTAATGGCTTTCAATTTTGATGATTTTTGACAAGCAATCTGTGTGAGGAAAT